TCACCACCTCGGGCCCAGAGTGCTCCTCCGGAGGCGGCTATGCTCCCACTCAGCCCTTCGCCAGCCCCTGTAGCCAGCCCCAGTCCCTTCCTCTCAGGCGGTGGAGCCCCAACCCCAGCTCCAAACATCTTTAACCGGTCAGCCAGGCCCTTCACCCCAGGCTTACAAGGGCAGCGGCCAGGTACCACTTCGGTGATTTTCCGGCCACCAGCTCCCAAGAGGGCGAACGAAAGCCTGGGAGGCCTCAGCCCCGCCCCACCGCCCTTCCTGTCCCCTCCACAGGGGCCCACCCCTCTGCCCAGCCACGTGCCAGCCTCCGGTTCCCCCAGCACTCCACGCTCCTCGGGCCCCGTGACAGCCACAAGTTCCCTGTACATCCCAGCCCCCAATCGTCCTGTAACGCCAGGAGGAACCCCAGAGCCTCCCGCTCCCCCTAGCGCCGCTGCCATGACCTCCACCGCTTCTATCTTCCTATCGGCACCTCTGCGACCCTCTGCGCGCCCAGAGGCACCCGCCCCAGGCCCCGGGGCACCTGAGCCCCCCAGCGCTCGGGAGCAGCGCATCTCCGTGCCCGCTGCCCGCACTGGCATCCTCCAGGAGGCCCGGCGACGTGGAACCCGGAAGCAGATGTTCCGGCCGGGAAAGGAGGAGACGAAGAACTCGCCCAACCCCGAGCTGCTATCGTTGGTGCAGAACCTGGATGAAAAACCCCGGGCCGGGGGAGCGGAATCTGGTCCAGAGGAGGATGCTCTGAGCCTCGGGGCTGAAGCCTGCAACTTCATGCAGCCACCAGGGGGCAGGAGTTACAAGACTCGGTCTCACGTGACACCTAAAACCCCGCCTCCAATGTCTCCCAAGACCCCGCCCCCAATGCCTCCTAAGACTCCACCCCCGGTGGCTCCTAAGCCCCCATCTCGAGGGCTCCTTGATGGGCTAGTGAATGGGGCAGCCCCTTCGGCTGGAATCCCTGAGCTAGCAAGGCTTCAGGGCAGGGGTGGGGAGCTGTTTGCCAAGCGGCAGAGCCGAGCAGACAGGTATGTGGTGGAAGCTACACCTAGTCCTGGCCTTGGCCTTGGTCCTCGGCCCAGAAGCCCTTCCCCTACACCCTCACTGCCCCCTTCCTGGAAATATTCACCCAACATTCGTGCCCCACCTCCTATTGCTTACAACCCACTGCTCTCACCCTTTTTCCCCCAGGCTGCTCGAACGCTCCCTAATAAGGCCCAATCCCAGGGTCCTCGGGCAACCCCCAAGCAGGGTATCAAGGCTCTGGATTTCATGCGGCACCAGCCCTACCAACTTAAAACTGCCATGTTCTGTTTCGATGAGGTTCCCCAGGCTCCTGGCCCCACTTCCTTAGGGCCCCGCAAAACTGCCCGAGTCCAGGAGATCCGCCGATTTTCCACTCCAGCACCCCAGCCCACTGCAGAACCCCTGGGCCCCACTGTGCTTGCCCCACGAGCAGCCACTACATTGGATGAGCCCATCTGGAGGACAGAGCTGGCCTCAACCCCTGTCCTTAGCCCAGCCCCTCCTCCAGAGTCTCCTAGGGGTCTCGGAACTTCCCCCAGCTCCTGTGGCTTCCAGGTAGCCAGGCCCCGGTTCTCAGCCACCAGAACTGGATTGCAGGCTCATGTGTGGAGGCCGGGGGCAGGCCACCACTGAGCAGGGCACGGCTCCCAGGACCAAGGAGAGGTGGAGCATCCAGTTCCTAAAGTTGCTTCTCCTACCCATCCCATGTCCTCTCTCAGGCATCTGGAGGCTAAATTCCCTCCTGCCAGAGATAGTTTTGGAGTTGGTGTCCCATCTCCACCCACACTCCTCCACTGGTCTCTATTTCTCTACATTTGTGCTTTTCTGTGAGCCTCGTTTTAATGTTCAGTGAGAAGCACACAGAGAAGTTACTAGTGAGACCTCAGGCAAGAAGCTCACCATCAGGTAGGCCTCAAAGGGACTGAATTGATCTCTGCACTAAATCGCTTGCTACTCCTCACTCTCATTTCCCAAGCTTGGCTGGCATATATCTAGACATGTATGTGTGCGTGTGTGTATGTGCAAGTGTGTGTAGGCACAGATGTGTTCTTATGTCTGAGGCAAGAGTAAGAGGAGCAGTCTAAATAAAGACCCAATCTGGGTCTTCCCTTTGTACTGATTAAAGAAGGGTCAGATAAGCCCTTATGGATAGTCTAGTGGGGAGAGAGAGATTGACTGGAATTAAAGACCAGGGCCTGTAGCAGGGGTACAGCATCTTGTGAAACTCACAGATTATGAGAAGACCTGAAGGGCTGGGGCAGTTTATAAGGGCTGAGTTATACCAGCTAGACCAGAAACAGAACTAAGAATTCTATTCATCAGGGGGCACCTGGCTGGCTCAGTCAGAGGAGCATGCGACTCTTGATCTCAGGGTTGTGAGTTAGAGCCCCACACTGGGCAGTAGAGATTACATACATACATACATAGTTCTATTCGTCAGGATTTCAGAAAGTTAGCAACTTAAGAGGCCCATGCTGAGCTACAAGCATCCAGGAAGTGAAAAAGAAAGCCAGAAAATTTCCTCTGGAATGAAAAATCCATTGGCTTCATTGCCTCATGCACCTGAGACAGAAAGGAGGGTGAAAAGAGCCATGGTGTGGAAAGTGAGGCAGAAACCAGGAGCAGAGTGGAATGAATGAAATTGATTGAACCACAGGGAGGAACATGGGGAGGGAGAGTGCAGTGTTGGCAGACAGGAGAGTTGGGTTTCAGGAAACTCACCATGTGCAACAGGGGGATTAGGGAAAAATTTGAGAGAGAAGAATGCATTTGTTAGAGTGAGGACAGATGATGGTGGGGGGATGTGAGAGTGTGGGCTGAGTGTTGAAAGAATAGGTAGTGTTTGTACTACCTCCTTTGAGTCTGTCCTTCTACCCTCTGCAGCTTGTCATGATGACCTGGGAAAGGGCAAGGAAATACCCAGAGCCAAAATTTCTTTTCAGTCCTACCCCATCCCCCGCACCCTAGCTCTTATTCCTTTCCAGCTTCAGGTCCTGATCTCTGATCCTAGATGGGTATGGACTCCCCTCTCACCATGACCACCACCAGCCAGCCATGTTTGCTGTTGATCTGGATTGATCGTTTCCTTTGCATATTGAGTGTGAGTCACAGTACTTTGGTTTGTGCACAAGAATAAACTTATGCTCCAAACCTTCTGTTGCCATCATCTCTTGTAGTTTTATACCCAAATCCTGATTCTCCTCCATCTTCTCTAACCCATTCCTCTGATCTCTTTCTCCATTCCTGCCCTATTCTTCACCCTTGCCCTTCACCCCCTGGTCTTTTGCTCTTCTTTACCAGTTCTGTCCCACTCTGATTTAGCCACCTCCACCATTCCCTTTGGTTCTCTCTCCATCCAGATTCTCCCCTTTTCTGTCTCCTGCTTCATACTTCCCAAGCAAGCCCTCAATTTCAGAACCAAGAGGAGTGGAAAGGCCCTCTGAGCTTTTGCCATCATCATTTCCTAGCTCTCTGGAGGAAACAATTGATGTTTCCATGGGAAAGCAATGTCTGGAGGTGAAGGTGGGGTGGGAGAGGGGAGAAGAAAGAGGGTGGATCGGTGTGGGTTGAGTCTAATATAGAAGAGAAGGCACTGGAGGCAGGCTAGAATTAAGGACTTCTGAGAAGGAAAGTTACTCCAGCAGGGGGCATATTTGTGCAAATAACCAGGCCCAGGACCCTGATGCTCCCACGTAGTAGTATGGTCTCAGAATTCCAAAGGAAGGGGCCCCTAGGTGGCTCAGTCATTAAGCATTTGCCTTCGGCTCAGGTAATGATCCCGGGGTCCTGGGATCGCTCCCTGCATCGGGCTCCCTCTCTCTGTCAAATAAATAAATAAATAAAATCTTAAAAAAAAAAAAAAAGAATTCCAAAGGAAGGACCCATTGAGCATAGGTTGAATATTGTCTTCATCCACTCAGTAGTTTTAGGTACTCAATCATAGGAGACCAAAATTTTGGTTTGTTTTTGTTTTGTTTTTGAGAGTAGGATGGTGGTGATGACAAAATCACCATTTGCCATTTTTATTTTTTCTTCTAATTGCTTCTTTGGGTTGGGAGGGAATGGAGAAGGAAGCCAAAAGATGAGGGATCTGGAGGCTAAACTGATTTGGGCGGAGGCCAGCTAGAGGGCGGTGGGATGATCTTTCAGTCCCTGGCCTGAGCCTGAAAAGTTCAGGATGGGAAAAGAACACGATCAGGAAGAATGGAGAGCTCAGAGTGACAGAGGGGCATTCTGGAAGCTGCGAAGTTACTTCCTAAAGCAGCCACAACAGGATGGTGGTGACAGCAACAGAGGTGCAGCCGCAGCTGGTTCCAGAATCTGAGCAGGTGGAAGAGGATCCAGGATGTTCATGCAGCTACTGAGGAAAGGTCTGGGTAAATGACAGGCTTCCCTCAAGGAGGCTCTCAAACTTGTGCCCTTGCCCAGGGAATCCTCTGGAAGAGTATGAATGGGACAATCTAGATCCCATGGGATGTGTGCTCCCTTTGAAGAAAATCCCAAGTGGGAACCCCAGAGTGTATGGACCTGGCATACATGTACTTCTCAGACATCAACATCTATCCTGCAAAGCAGGCCAAACTGAGCACCCCAACAGCAAATGGGGATGAAAAGGCAAAAATTGGTCAAGTCTTCCCCACATCATCCCTGACAACATAGGAAGCACTGGATTTGGTTAATTTGGTTCCTTATCCTGCAAAGATCTGGCTTTTCAGGAAAGACCAATCCATCAAGGAACTTTCAATGAGCAGCTCCATTGTGTACAGACTTCCTTTCCCCAAACATAGCACCTTAAGCCCTCCCACTCCCAAAATGCACCCACATGTCTCTCCAGCTCCAGCCTGGAATGGTTTTGAGTGGCTCTCCAGACATGTTCTCCAAGTTCTTGCTCTCCCACTCTGAATTCCTATCCACCATCTTCTGCTTGCTTCCTCTTTCCCTTTCAGTTTTCAGTTTCTCCCTGAATGCTTCTTTGGTTCTCAGACTCTAGATGCCAAGAAAGGGGACTCCCTGCGCAGACTGAGCCTTGGCTCAGACAGCTTAGTGGGAGAATCCCAAAGGCCATTCCTCCCCTTCCTGAGCCTCTGGGCAAGGAGGGCGGGATCTTGGTTCCAGGGTCTCAGTACCCCCAGTGCCATTTGAGCTGCTTGTACTCATCATCTCTATTAATAACTACTCTCCCTCCCCCACTGCCAGTGCTGCCCCCACGCCTGCCCAGCTCGGGTTCTCCGGTCACAGCAGCTCAGGCCTCCAAAGCTGCTGGACCCCAGGGAGAGCTGACCACCGCCTGAACAGCCGGTAAGTTTCCAGCTCTATGGCCAGAGGGGCTGGAGCCCATTCTGTTGACTGCTGTGTCTGTGTCTGCAATTGTGACCCTTGATCCTCCCTTATCTATGCTCTGCTCCCAGCTGTCTAGTTCAGGGGAGCCACAGAGTTGGAAGGAGAGGGGCCCAGGAGGGTGGGGGGAATGGAGATGTTGGAGGAGGCACTGGAATAGTAAGAAGGGGGTCTGAGAGGCTGGATGGGAAAAAAAAAGAACCTAGCTAGTTAGGGCTGAGAGAGGTATAGTGAATGCCCATTTAGCAGTTCCTGGAGTCTGGCCTCAGCATACCCCATTAAGTTAGTAGAATTGCAGACATGTTGTAAAACAGGACTCAGCAGAAGACAGTGTTTTGCTGAGTGCCACCTTCTGTGAAGGAGGGACTGGAGTCTATCTTTTCCCAGCTTGTTCCCCTCCACTGCCAGATGCTATTATTATGTTCCTGCCCCCCGTCAATTCCCCACTGCTATGATATTGCTGAATTGACATGTGTCAGTGTTCAAATGCCCCTGGCTCTTCTCTCCACTCTAGCTCTGGGGCCTGGGGTAGGAGTGCCTGAAAGGGAGCAAGGAACACTGCCGTGACCTCCCAGGCCACACTCCAGCTGGCCCAATAGGGGAGCAACAACCTCTCCTTCCTATGGAGAATGTTTTTGGCTGAATCTCCTCAATCCTGGCAGAACATTTTTCTGCCCCACTGGGGCTTGAGGAAGACTGAGGAGAGACCAGAGTTTGGAATGACAACCCCAATCTGAGATCCCCATGAAAATAAAAACCTAAAGTCATGCCAAGCCAATGAAACCTGGGTGCAGTGCCCTGTGTGTTGTTTGTTTTACCCACTGCCCCCAACACATACTATGTTCCTAATCCCTGTACGAGCTCCATTTAAACAGCAGAAAAGAGATTGGTAGATGGTAGGAGCAGAGGGTGCATCTATGCTTTCTGTCCTGCCTCCAAGAAAAGAGAAGCCCTAAAGCAATTGGTTTTCACTTTTTGGGATCGATCTATCTATCTATCTATCTATCTATCTATCTATCTATCTAGATATAAATACATATTAAATATACATATCATATATACGTATTAAATATATGTATATATAAGTATATACATATATTTAAAAATCTCATGAAAGCCCTTAACCTGAAACCCTTAACCCCAGGTTAAGAAGTACTGCCTTACTGTAGATACTCCCCCTTCCCAGTTCCTGTCCATCTTCCAACTCCCCCATCCCACCCTATCTAGGCTGAATCTGCCTCCACAATGCCGCTCTCAGGAACCCCAGCCCCCAACAAGAAGAGGAAATCCAGCAAGCTGATCATGGAACTCACTGGAGGTATGGCATGTTTGCACCTACCTAGTGTGGGACTTCTTGTTAAGAGCATCTCAGGCCCAAGAGTCCCAGAAAAATCATAAAGTTATATATGTCTTAAGGTGAAGAGATGTGAAGAGACAAGAGAAATTCTGGGGGGTGGGGGCAGGAAGAAAAATGGAGAAAGGATTCAACACTGACCACTCACCCTTCCACCCTTTTTCACCTTGTAACCTGAGACAGTAATATCCTTGCCATATCACCCAATGCAGGTCCAGGACAACAGGACTCAAAGGTCAGTGAGGTATGTTTGAGGAAGAGAACATATATGATGGAGATTGGCACATAGCAAAGTCTCAATAAATGGTTAACTTCCTTACTTTCCCCCCAGAGCTAGGGAGCCTGTGTAAGCACTTAAAATGGAAAAATACTCAGGCATTTTTTCCTGGGGGGCAGTAGGAGTATAAGCATGTGAAGAGCTCTCCCAATATCTAGAGACGCTGTCTGTAGCCAGAGTTCACTGAGGGGAAGAGAAGGAAAAGGAGTTAAGACAAATCTGTATTTATTTATTTATTTATTTATTTTTAAATGTTTTATTTATTAATTTGAGAGAGACAGAGATAGTGAGAGAGAGCACGAGAGGGCAGGAGGGGGAGAAGTAGACTCCCTGCTGAGCAGGGAGCCCAACGCAGGTTTCAACCTGAGCTGAAGGCAGACGCCCAACTGACTGACCCACCCAGGCACCCCGACAAATCTGTATTTAGATGTGGTCAACTCCACACGGTTTTGGCCTTTGGACTGGCCCCCATGCGACAGTTTCCCCAATGGTCTCCATCTATGATGTTCCTTTAGTCCTTTTGCCCTGCACCCCATGCCTCTGACCCTTCTGCCTCATTCATCCTCTCCACTCTAGTATCCCCACTGTTTCCACTCTGCACCCCAGTTCCCATGCATCATCTCCAACTCCAAACCCAGGAAATAAAAATCTCTCACAAACAAGGTACAATTTGACCAGATGTCACAGACAGTATCTCCTTCCCTCTGTGATCTCTGCAGGAGTCACACACTTAGTTGTGGATGGCATCTGTATTCTGAGCCTAGAAAACCCTACTTTACTCTTCTCCTTGTCTCTTCCTCCCCACCTCCCTGGAAGGTGGACGGGAGAGCTCAGGCCTGAATCTGGGCAAGAAGATCAGTGTCCCAAGGGATGTGATGTTGGAAGAGCTGTCACTGCTCACTAATAGGGGCTCCAAGATGTTCAAACTGCGGCAGATACGGGTAGAGAAATTTATTTATGAAAACCACCCTGATGTCTTCTCTGACAGCTCAATGGTAAGTTTGGAACTTTATAACTCTCATAGCCTAGTGCCTCTTCTGACAGCTTCTTGGTAGGCCCTCAATCTCCAAATACCACCAACCTCCCTTACTTGCAACTTTATAAGCTTATTAAGTCCCCAGATATATTAAACCTCCAACAGCTCCAGGATGAGTTACAGCCCACCTCTGAAATTCAGTATCTTAGAGCCAGTGAAGGGGAAGGAGTGAAGAGTACACACCCTCAGGGAGAAAATTCCTTCCCTGTATGGCTAAGTGTTAAAGATAGGTTTGCCAGAGAAGACGCAGGACACCAAGTCCTGTATTTTAAAGTTGAGATACGCGTGAATAATTTTTTAGTAGAGTATGTCCCATGAAATATTTGAGCCATAAAAATTCAATTCAATTCAATTCAATTTTAAAAATACAGGATACCAGTTTAATTTTAATTTCAGATATATGATGAATAGTATCTTACATATAAATATGTCCCATGCAATATTTGGAGTGTAATTTCAGTAAAAAAATATTTGTTGTGTATCTGAGATTCAAATTTAACTGGTGTCCTATAATTGTATTTGATAAATCTGGCAACCCTAGAAAGAGTTAAGTGCTTTTTATAACCATCTCCTTCTTGAGCCATTCTTTTATCTAAAGGGTCTAAGGACTCCATGAAACTATCCTCTAAGATCCTATGTCCCCTAGTGAGGATCTTTTTTCCAAGAGAAGTAGGGATTGGAAGGGTGCCAGGCACAAGATGTTATAGCTGAGAAGGAGGGGATCTTCTCCATTACCTTTCTTCCCCCTCTACCTTTACTGGGCAGCCAAGGGAAAGTGGAAATAGATGCCTACATGGGGCCACAGGCAGGAGTGTCTGTCATTGATCCTTATGTAGGAGCAGAGCAAAAATGCTGAGCTGGTCATATCTAACTTTAGGAGGCCAAAAGCCCTTGTCCCTGACTGGGTCTGGTTACACTGGTTGGAGCAGAGGGGTGTGCATGGTGGGGTGGCTAGGAGAGTTTCCTGAAGGAGTTGGTGGGGTTATTTTTAGGCTTTGGGGCTAAATCCAGGGTTGCCCTTTTGCTCACCCTTCCCCCCACCTGCTACAGTTTCATGGTCAGGAGATCCTGGTTCAACAGGCACCAAAACGAGAAAGGGAGAGGAAGAGAAAGAGAAAGAAGAGAGCTCTGTCTGTTGGACAAGATTAAAGAAGGGGAGAGGGCAGAGATCTCTCTAGCTCTTCAAATTAAACCTGGGTTCTCTGTCCCAACCCCATCCTTTTAAATTGTAGCTGGGCAGAAATCTTGGCCCTCTTTGCCTTGATAAGGATGGGAAAGGAAAGTGTAGAGAATAAGTTGCCCCCATCTTAAGGTGTAATTGGAGGAACTGAGCCAGAGGGGGGTCCTATCGCTTAAGGAGAGTTTAATTCCTCTCAGCCAGGCTATCCACTGTCCACCTATTGTGGTGGTGGGGGGGGGAGGGGGCGAGGATCTCAGAGGATTCAGTGTCTTCTGGTTAGCCATGCTCTCTGATTATTTCCTTCTTGCTATGCATACCTGTGTCTTTGTATATTCCCCATACCCATTGCCTAAGCTTGCCCTCACTTTGTCCTTTCTTTTCAGGATCACTTCCAGAAGTTCCTTCCCACAGTTGGGGGACAGCTGGGCACAGCTGGTCAGGGATTCTCCTACAGCAAGGGCAGCAGTGGAGGCCAGGCAGGGGGCAGTGACTCTGCCAGACAGTATGGCTCTGACCAGCAGCACCATCAGGGCTCTGGATCTGGATCTGGGGGTACAGGTGGTCCTGGGGGCCAGACTGGCAGAGGAGGAGATGCTGGGACAGCAGGGGTTGGCGAGACAGGAACAGGCAAGTATCCCTACCCAAGGGTAACGTGTTTGGTCCCTAGAGCAGAGATGTCCCCAGGAATGAGGCCTAGACCGGGTTTAGGGAGCAAGGGAGGCCTGCTGAGATACCTAGATGGACCGTCTGGAGATGGACTCTCAGGAGAATACCGAGATATGTCTATTTCACCCAGAAACCTTGTCTTTCAGCCTTTCTGGCTTTTCAGTTTCAGTCACAGATCTGAACCCAGGCTATCATTATTCCACAAAACTAGCACAGTTACCAGGATGTTATATCTTTGATCTCTGGCCCCAACAAGTTCCCTAGTGCAGGGGTGTAAGACTAACTTCCACTGGCTGCTCACCGTTATTATTGACTTAATTTTCTCTCCCGTGGCTGCCAGGAGACCAGACAGGTGGAGAAGGAAAACATATCACTGTGTTCAAGACCTATATTTCCCCATGGGAGCGAGCCATGGGGGTTGACCCTCAACAAAAAGTGGAGCTTGGCATCGACCTGCTGGCTTATGGGGCCAAACCTGAACTCCCCCACTATAAATCCTTCAACAGGTAGGGGTTGTGAAGAAGGAACCAGATGCATTCCAGCATGTGGCACAGTGTCCTCAGTTGGGATGGAGACTTTAGTTCACATGTTCCAGAAAGAAGCTGAGGAGGGAGGGAAGGAACATGGGGGCCCTAATCGAAGGCCTTTGCTTTTTTCATGGTAACCCAGAAAAACAGCGCAGTATGATGAAGGAAACGTTTGCTGGGGGGCAACATTTTAGTTCACTCCACCACTTATTAGGGGTGTTGGTCATGGGAAAATCACCCTACTTCTGAGCGTTGGTTGCCTTGCTGTAAAATGGAAATAATATAGGGGCGCCTGGGTGGCTCAGTCAGCTAAGCGTCTGCCTTTGGCTCAGGTCATGATCCCAGGGACTTGGGATCGAGCCCCACCTCAGGCTCCCCACTAGTGGGGAGTCTGCTTCTCCCTCTCCCTCTGAACCTCCCTCCCTGTTCGTGCTCTCACTCTCTCTCTCAAATGAATAAATAAGAAATTAAAAAAAAAGGGAACAATATATTCATGTTTAAAGGACTCTTAAAGTTCCCTTCATTCAAGGTTAGGCTTCCATTACTGTTCTTCTAGTATGAGTCTATTTTTTTATACTCTAGTAAGGCTTAAGTATCTATTCTTTTGGAATTTGGCTTCTCTAGACTGTGGATAGGAGATCTGTGTGAAAACAGAATAGGGAAGCACTAAAGAAGTGTTTTGCATTTGATCCTAAGAAGCCTGAATTTTCCAGGCTATGTTAATTCCTCTCAGCAGGCCAGGGCTATCCACTGGAGATGGGGTAGGGGTTGTGTGTGTGGGAGGGAGGGGAAGCTGTCTCTACATTGTAATTTAAGGTAGTCTCAGACCCTTGGGTCTATAGTGTCTGAGTCACAACTCTCCATGAAACTCTCTATCCAGTACCGACTAGACTGCTTTTCTCATTATTAGCTCTGGGGAAATAAGCAAACCAGGAATGGGGAATTGAGGGAGAAGAAGAATAAGAAGTGCAGAAGCAATCCTTTTTTTAAAATAAAGATTGTACTTATCTATTTGAGAAAGAGAGAGACCACATGAGTGGGGGGAGGAGCAGAGGGAGAGGGAGAGGGACAAGCAGACTCCCGCTGAGCGTGGAGCCTGACTCCGCAGGAACAATCTTAAACTAAAATTCACAGACTTCCCCATCCTCAAAACAGGGTAACATCTTACTGATAAAGCTGTTCCTTTTGTTCTGGTTGGTTTTTTTTTTTTTGTGTGTGTGTGTGTGTTTTTAAAGATTTTATTTATTTATTTGGCAGAGAGAGACACAGTGAGAGAGGGAACACAAGCAGGGGGAGTGGGAGAGGGAGAAGCAGGCTTC